TGCGCCGCCGTCGCCGCTGACGGTGAGGGTGAAGAGGAAGCTTCTGGAAGCGTGCATGACGTGTCCCCTCTGCAATAAGCTCCTCAGGGACGCCACGACTATCTCTGAGTGCCTTCACACATGTGAGTCTCACGTGCTCCTCTGATCCTCTTGATCTCGGCTCGATTCTCTGGGTTCTTCGCGTTTTGGGTGATTTGTGATCTGGGTTTGCTGTACTCTGATGTTCTTGTGATGTGGGTTTGCGTCAAAATTTGATCTTGGCGAGTGTTTGCTTCCTGCTTCTTGGTTTCATGATGATTTGTGGCTTGTTCGCGTGTATTGATTCGTTATTTGTGTCCTCATGCAGAGAAAATGAGTTTCTTTATTTTCGTTGTCTGAAACTAATGGAAATCGAGCTTCATGCATTGGATGTCGTTTGTAGTTGATTTGGTTCTTCGATTGTGAAGCTCCTTCTCTGGTTTACGTTCAAGTTATCTAAATTATATGATTTAAAACAATGATTTGTTCTTGGTGATTATACTCCGCTATCGCGTTGGTGTTTTGTAACATGGACTACTTATCCATGTTGCAGAGAGTTCAAGGTATAATGGTAATTATATATAGATTTATTTATGTGTGCATCTGTTTATGTTTCTTTGTTTCTTACGATCTATGTTTGTTTTACATGTCTATGCCAGAGATTGGGTAGTTCATTTTACTTTTTTTTTAAATTTAATTTTTATGCCAGTTATAACCAGTACGTCAATTGACTGAGTACAATTAACATTCTGTGCCACTGATTTTTAATAATACTGCCATGGGAATCTGTATTTAGTAGTTTAGAGAAGCTTTTTGTTTGTCATTCTTATAACTAAGTTAGTTTATACTTTATAATTGTTCCGTTATGTATCTATACAGTATAATTTGAATACCGTTATTTCTCTTTCTTTTTTACAGTCTGCAGGAAATGCATTTTTCAGAAATTAGATGATGAGGAAGTGGACTGCTGCCCGATATGCAAAATTGATCTCGGCTGTGTACCAGTTGAGAAGCTTAGGTAAATTTAATTGCTATGTTTTTTTCCCTCTCTTAGTTTTTTTGGTCTATTTCATATTTGATGAATTGATTGACTTGTATTTAGCCTAGCTGCTTACTGATTACCTGATGTAATGCGTTTATATCATGCTGATATTATTTTTCTACGTATTATTATTATATTCAGCTTTATTTTCTCTGGAAATGGTTGAGGGTAGAAAGAGGAAAGTTCCAAAATAACACGAAAGTATGTATTTTGATGATCAAACAGCATGAAAATGTTTTCCCCCAATAAAAAGAAAAGAGAAAAATCACTGGACATTGACATCGTTAAATTATTAATTTCTATCTGAAGGAAATATGAATCCACCGTTGCTGCTGCAAAAGTGATGGTTTAATCTTTTATTTTTACATCTTATTTGTTGTTCTTGCTTTGAGGTTTCTATAGGTTATTTTTGTTTTAATGGATAAGTTGCAAAAAATTACATGTGAATTAAGTTTAGGATAGTATGTCTACAGTTGACACCAGAAACTTTTCTAAGTGTAAGGCACTAAAAAATGGTTCACATCAATAATCAAGGGCTTTCGGCTAAAGTTACTAAAGCACTGTTTCTTAAGTTCTTTTACACTTAATATGAGATGCAACAGATCCAAGGCCGAGGGCTAAAGATTACCTGTTCTTAGTTTGGATCTTAAATTTAATCTGTTTTGCATCACAATTTCTGGAGTATGAGCACATTTGGAATCAGTAACTAACATCTCTGAAGCACGGATTCGCCCCCGGAGGCCACGAATCCGTGTCCGACTCGAATCGGACACGAATTCGTCACGACACGTGTCGGACATGGTCAATCCGTGTCGGACACAGGTCAACGGTCAAACTAGGCTCGGACACGGTCAAAGGATCTCGGACACGGCTCGGATTCGCCGAAGGCCGATTCATTCGGGTTGCGGGTTTGGTTGTTAAAATCCAACCCGAACCGTTCGATTAAAAATCCATCCCTATTTCTCAAATCTCCCGTTCGATTCGATCCTCAGCTGACTCAAACGAAAGAAAAAAGAAAAAACTCTAACCCTAACCCTAATCCTCTCTCTCACTCTCTCAGCTCACTCCTGTTCGATTCGATTACCTCAGCTGTTCCGACCCGATCCCGCCGACTGCTCCGCTATTCCGACCCGATCCCGCCGATCGACTCCTTCTTCCTCCGACTCCTCAAGTCCACCCTCCATTCCTCCTCCCTGTCCAGCACAACCACCACCAATGTCATCATCATCTCCTCTGATTTTTGGGTTCGACCAGCAGCCCAACATCATATTATTATCATAAATCTGTTGGAGAAAGTTACTCATTTATACTAAATCGAGATTTTCGTATTACGTTCCATCTATATATATAATAATAATTTAAAAAAATCATTGTCGTATCCCCGTATCCTATTTTTTTGGATTTTGCCGTATCCCGTATCCGTGTTCGTGTCGTATCCGTGTCCCAAGTCCATATCCGTGCATCATAGACCAACATAAATCTGCTCTCATTATGTCATAACATAACCCAACTAACCAATCACACTGATGGTTTTCCTTCATGAATGAAAATCAATTTTATGCAAAATATTGTCTGCTTGCTTTCAGGATTTCCTGATTCGCATAAGAGTTGAGCAGAAACATCTTGAACATTACAATTACGGTAGTGAATTTGTAAAATAAATCCTATAAAGAAAGTCGACAGGAGCTGCCTTCTGATTTCTCTGGCTTCAGATGATTCTTCTGTATGCATGACTAAGGCAAAAAGGCTAAGCAGAGAGTCAGTTAAAGAACTATCACTCTAACTTATTGACATAGAGAGATACCATATCAGGGTTGTGAAATGCAAGAATTATCCTAAACCAGACATGAGTACACATGCATGCATATGGATACTATAGATAAAGCATGCATTTACTATACTTGGCCAAATGCCCTTAGATCTGAGTGGATTCATTGAGTCAGTGGAGGTTTAGTAGTCAATGTATATGAACAAAGAACCTTCGAGTATAAATTCACAAAGGATACTAGAATACCGTATATATTATAGATTTTGCATGGTAGGGCCCAACTCCATCCATCTTATGGATACTTTTCTCTTTAAAGGCAAGTACGTTGTATCCTTCATGGATGGAGATCCTAACCCTTTTAGAAGATACTAGTTTCCTGCATACAAGTTTCCTGCATATTGTAGTTTTTCAGCTTCTACCCTTAATGTTGGAACAACTTACAAAACTAAGTTTGCTCAAACAAGCTACAATTATGACTATTAGCGAGGATTACCTTTTATGTCATGATGACGGGAAATGAATCTTTGATCCAAATTTAAGGCATCTAGATTTGCTAGATTGTAGTGGAGACCCAATTTCAATAATTTTTAGTGTGTATCTTGGTCTTATTTAGTTAATTTTAGCCTTAAGATCTCAAAGGATTATTATTGTAAATTATCTGACACTAGGGCTGACTTCTCCCAGATGTTTTTGTTGCCCAATATGTTATTTAATTTAGTTATATGATTTCATTTTTTTTCCATTCCAAAAAAAGGGCCAAAAGTATATGCTCAACAATCGATGTATTTCGTGGGCAATTTGATCTGTTTATGAAGTCCCTGGCTTTCGAATTCAAATTCTTTTTCGAAATTTTTAGAAAATTTCATTAGTTGTTCGCTTGCTTTTGTAGCATGAATTTGGCTGTTCCTTTTAATTTATCTATCGTGTATACATGTATGTGCATGAAAATATGTGTGACAAATTTATCTATCTTCTTTAAGATGTAAATACAATCCAATATATATTTGTATAAGTGAATATTTGTGTATCTAGAAATATACAAGTGGTGATATGAGTGATGGAAAATGAGTGAACTTCGGTTATTGCTAACATTTGATTCAGATAAAAGACAGCCCTCATTCCAAAAAACATAAATACTTATCTTCATGGTAATAGTATGCAACACAAACTTGTGACACACACTATTTTCCTTAACATGCCACATATGCTATCTCAAAAACCATATGGCATAATACAATAGTTTATGCAGGACTGATCACAATTTACAAGACATACGAGCAAAGATTTTTCCTTTCAAGAGGAGAAAGGTTGATGCTCCTGAAGTTGCTTCTTCCATTAACTTGCCTGTTAGAAGGAAGGAGAGATCTCTTTCATCGTTAGTGGTGAACACTCCTCGAGTTGCAACACAACTGGGCTTAACAGGAAGAAGAACAAAAGGCACCACTAGAAGAGCTTCCACCTTACGTGGATTAGCTCCTATTATTGAAGAACCGAAGAAAGAGATCAATAATGCTCAAGATGAGGTTAGTCTTTATTGCAATATTAAGGGTAAATGTCACAAAAACCCCATGTACTTTGGATGGTTTTGCACAGATTCTCCATTTTATAAATCATGGAAAATCCTCCTGAACTTCTAAAATTTTACTGGATCCCCATAAACTATTGCAAATTCCCATAAACGACGTTAAGTGGTGGAGTGAAAAGTCTGAACTGCGTTTCAACTTTTTATCCGTACTCTTTCCCAAACAGCGGTAATATATGAGTTATATTTAGTAGATTGGGGTAAAACTGTCCAGAGAACTGTCTCGTGTGCTGCATGTGACATCTTAAATTAACTGCTGTCATCATGATATTAAGTGAGACAAATTCAGGAGGTTTCCTACTTTCATAGTGTTCCGGGCGTTTCTTGCAAAACACCCAATCACCGGGTTTTGTGAAATTTACCCACCGTTATTAATTTTCTTTGAGCAGCTGTTCTATAGACATATTTATCGGCACTTAGTCTACTCACGTTTGCAGATCTCTTCCGGTGTGGATCCATCTGATTACGCTGCTAATAATGACACAGAGTACACCAAAGAATCGTCCAAAGATAAATCAGAACTTTGGAAACCCTTGAATTGTCTCGTAGAAGCTGCCAACAGGACAAAGGCAGTCAAATCCAGTCCACATAATTTTGGTATTAAGGAAGAGCTCATTACTAATGGCACTGATAATGAAGTTTATATAGACAAAATAAAGGTTAGAGAATCCCCAAATAAATCCAGAATTCAAGAAGAGAATAATACCAAGGTTAGCGTTCGAAGACTACGCGGGCAAAAAAAGAGAGAGAACTCAGCACAAGCACTAATTGATGCTGCTGCTGCTACAAGGGAGAGGAGGAACAGTCCTATTTGGCTTGCATTGGTTCCCACAGTTGACCAGTGAGAATTGTTTTATTTCTAAAACCCTGATCTTAATGTTAATTTTTTCTTTTCTGATTCTGAGTGCTATATGCATTTAGGAAAGGAGATGAAGCAATGCCCCAGACATCTGCTTGTTATTTGAGAATTAAGTGAGTTCTGTTCTCAATTTGATTCTCACATGCAGCTTCTATTACTTACCTTTGCTCATAGTTTCATATTTTCCTGTTTGTCAATCATTTGATGTTTCATTGCATATGTTCCATAGTCATGTATGCTTTGTTCTATAAGTGAAGGGTTGGAGCATTTTCAATGATTTGAAGGACTAATTTAATCATAACTTAAGAATTGGATACCTAATAGCAATTTCAATGATTCAAGGGTCTAAGTTAAAAATATGAAAGATTTAAGGGACTACATCCAAAAATAACCAATACTCCACAAACAACAGTATTACCATCTTCCCATGGAATTTAGATCCTCTCCACTACGTACATTTATCATAGCCGTCGATTTGTCTAGTATATGGCTTTGATTCATTCTAAATACACTCATCATAACCAACCCCCACCAAAAAATCCCAAATTAACCCAGCGATTTGCATTCATTTTCTAATTTACACTCAAAAGGCAAATCACAACCAACAAGTAAGCAAATTAACAATTGTGATATATTAGTGGTCTCTTCACTACTTTTTTTGTAGTGGAGAGGACCCTGAATCCCTTCCCATGTTAGTTACGTTTGATTTCGGTTTAGATTATACAACAGTTGCACCTTGCTGTCATTAACTATTCCTAGTCATGAAGAGTAAGAATAAGACAAGCCTGACTATTGAAACTATAAAAATAATATTCTCACCTAGTTTTTGCTTGGTCGATAACTCGATTGGAAAAGTGTGTTTACTTAATTACAAATTTATCTAGAAGCTTTGTTCTTTTGCTTCATTCACAGTTCTTTGGTACCATGGAGATTTACTAATTTTTTCCTCTCTCTCTCTCTCTCTATAGAGATGGCAGCTTACCCGTTTCTTTCATCCACAAGTACCTAGCAAAGAAACATAATCTTGCTAGTGAATCTGAGGTGAGTTTCCAATTTCCTTCCATTATAAATAAATGCTGGTTAGTTCTCAGAAAAAAAAAGGTTATGTGGATTGCAGGACTAATATCATGTATGATGATATTCTGGTGTCCTCTCTCTTTCTTTTTCGTTTTATGACGGTTAAAATTAAAGGTCAACTGCTGATAACTCCATATAGTATCACTGTTTTGAATTTACTACCCCTCTAGGCCTCTATTTATATTTTTGCAGATAGATCCCTGAGTGAATTTTTTTGATTATTTCACCCTTGGAGAAAGACAAAATTGTTCTTTTGGAAAAATAGACCCCCTGAGGGTAAAATTGTCAATAAAATTCACTCAGGGGTTTATCTGCAAAAACAGAACTAGTGGAGTTGTGAGTTAAAAAAACCAACAGTACTACCGGATGTCTATCCGCAACTAACTCTTAAGACTAAAGATATGACATAACCCGTTGTCATATTGTCTAATGACTAAATACCTACTTTATTTAGAATCCTTTTTATTTTTCCTCCCTACATCAGGATTAGTTGTTGACTTGTTTCCTTATCTTTCTACGAGTTGAAATCCTATAAAATGCATCAATTTCTAATAGACAAAAAAGGATCAACCATTCTATTATCTTTTTTGAGTTTACAATTTATTTCTTATTGTGGATCCTTAAAGAAGATAGATGATTCTGACTTCTGATACCCTGCTGTGTTTGTGGAATCGTACATTTGTGCTGCTTGAGTTTATTACCTGTCCTATATAAAGTTGAACAGTAATGACAAAGACACTATTCAAACTACAATATAATGAGCTTTATTCTTGTTCATTCTGTCTTACAAAGGAAGAAGAGACTGTCAGTGTATAATGTGCCAACATAACATCTTAGAATGTGATACATTCCATAGATTTAGGGCCTGTTTGGCAAACCACTAAAACTGGGTCAGTTCAAACCTGGTCTAGTTTTCCGATAGTTTTGTTGGGAAAAGTTGGACCAGAGCTGACCCAACTTATTTTAATTTATTTTTTAGCCTCTTAACCAGGCTAGAATTGAACCACCCCCTACCTAGCTCCATTCTGGTCTGGTTAAGAAATAAAACTGGGCTGGCCTGATTTCTATTAGGTTGCCAAACAGGCCCTTAAAGTGATACATTATATTTTATAACATTGTTAAAAATATTCCCTTGTTTATAATGTTCCTTCTATCCTAATCCGGCGATTCTCAATGGCTTAAACACCTGTTTGTTTCAGCCACTTGTATATTCTTAGCTCATCGACTTTCTTCGACAGGTTGAGATTACATGTTGTGGCCAAACAGCGGGCCCCACTACACCCCTTTACAACTTACCCGACATTTGGCTAGAGTCAAGGCCACCACAGAGAGTAAAAGCATCTTTGGGCACCTCGGCCAAGGATTTTGTTCTAGTTCTCAACTACAGATGCAATGCTCTTGTATCATAAATCGCCCTCTACTTAAATTCTTCTGCAGTCTCATAATAAGAAGAGTTAATGCACGTAAACCCCTTGCAGTATCATTTTTTTGAACTTACTACCCCTGTAGTTTCATTTTAGCAGGTAGATCCCCCTGGGTAATTTTTTCCCCCTCGGAAAAAAAAATAATACAGGGGATCTGTCTGCCAAAATGAAATTGCAGGGTTAGTAAGTTCAGAAAGGCGACATTACAGGAGGTCTATGTGCAAATTAACACCAATAAGAGTTTGCCATTTTTCTTGTTGTCATATGATTTTTGTTTTCCCCCTTTATGTTTTTTTCATGACGTTGGCGCAGTTGATGCCTATGATGTAATACTGTGATTTTCAGCTTTGAGTATAGGTATTGTGTCTATATCTTTGCTGTTTGATCGTGTGTCACTTGATATTGTTTACTTTGGTTTTCTTGCTTCTGATTTAGTCAGCTTGCTGTTTGTCCAGAGAAAATAGAATGCAGGCCCACATTGATAGAAAACTATTTATTGCTTGCAGACCCCTATAGCTATATTATGGTTGTTTTGAACTTACAACTCAGTTTCATTTTGGTAGATAGGCCTAACGGGTGAAATTTTTTACTCTTACTCTCAAACAAAGTCACGAATTTCACGCTAGGCCAATATCAAAATTTTCACCAAGGGTAATGTCGCCCAAACACATTATGCGCCAGAAATTTCACCAGCGGTAAAACAGCGAAAAATAAATCATCTGGGTATATTTGCCAAAATGAAACTATAGGGGGATGTGACATTAGCCTATTTCTTATGATGGCGTTGTGCTTTTTTTTTTCTTTTTTTTTCCCAGGTTTTAACTTAGAAAACTTTTAGGTTGACCGTGTCCTCTGATGATTATCTGGTTGTTACAGGAATATAACTCTGGGAATATGAGATTATTGAAGTATAGGAGGAATAGTGTAGGAATTTAACTTTCTTCTGCATTGTAAACAGAGATATCCTAAGTCCTAACGCACAATTTTTTTAATAAAGGAAGAGACATGTCTTTCATTTTGATAGAAAAAGGACCATAATTTTTTTTTTGGCGGCGGGCGGTCGGCGGCGTCGGTGGTGGTGGTGGTGCTATAAGATAGTTTATAAATCAGAGTATGGCTGGTCCTAAAAT